GCCATGGTAGAAGTAGGTCAACTACAACTTATGAGAAACTTGGTAGCAGAAATGGTAAGACATATTCGGTCTTCAGCGGTAGAAAGTCGAAGCGCAGGTGTATCTAGTGTTCGGCAAATGATGGCAGGTACAAGAATTAGTGATACAAGTCCAACTGAATCTCCAAATGAAGATGGGGGAAATATGGGCAACCAGACCAGACCACAACCCGAAGTAGAAAATCCTCAACCTGGTAATCAGACTTTCGCGTATAATAATCTGTTTTTATCTTTGACTTGTTATGGTTTATAGGTCCAAGCTCAAGTACTGATCAACCAGGCCCTACTGCAGGCACTAGTACAGGAACTTCGCGTCGCAGTATGAATAGAAAAACTTATCCACCTTCCAGATATGTGAGGTGTGTTTTGAGTTTTAGTTTCCAGCATGTGAATTTTATAATTCGCATAATGCTTTGTTCAAACTTTCAGAAGAACATTGCTCATGAAAACGCCCTATCTTCCACCATTGTACTGTCTCGCAATATCGTAATCTTTGTTTCAGATTACCCAGAAGTAGTCCTAGACGGTCATTAGTTAATTGGTTTGCCAGATATGCCCCATCTCGGGGAGAACGCGGTAATAGACAAAGTAGAAGTGGGTCAGCTCGTCCGCCTCCAGTACCTACTTCTAACATAGGATCACATAATGTATTCAACTACACAACTATCAGTCCTTCCACGTTAACCCTAATGACAAGACGGTAAGATTTTGCCCAACTTTAGTTTATAAAATATGTTTTCCACTTGTTATGACACCTGTTATTTTTCAATTGAAGCAGAAATCGAAAATTGAAGACCCTGTTGCAAGAAGGGGATAAGTAACATTTACTGATTTTTATGATAATGTGGTGGGAATGATAATTTTTTTCCGGCCAAAAAGCGTTTAATTTCTCAACATAATCTCCTTTTAGCTCGAATTTTTTTGCGGTTGTTTTTGCTTCAAGTCAGCATCGAATATGTGCAAAAGATCTGAACAATATGCGCCAATGATCGTTTAACCATTTTCAAGGTAATCGATGTGAACACCGCGTGTATCCCAAAAACCTGTGGCCATCACCTTGTTGGCCGACAGACCGATTTTGGCCTTCTTTGGTACACGTTCACCTGAAGAAACTCACTGTTTTGCAATATTTGTGTAGGAAAGCTCTCAATGTGCTCATGAACTTGGTTCTTCAAATGTTCCGGAATTATGTCGTAAATTGGAAAACCAGGATACATAAACTGACGAGCACATGCTGCAATCTGGAAGAAGAGAAAACCGAGATTACGGAAATCGTCCAAGATTTCAACTAGGCAAACTATACTCCAACA